ATTACAATACAATCCCTGTACTCACACACACACACTCACACACATACACTTACTAAGTATTACTTGAAAATGATATCTGATCATCTGTTTTGCTCCATCCTTCCAGTCACTTAAGTCACGAGGGTACGTGAAGGAACAGTTTGCCTGGCGCCATTTCTACTGGTACCTGACCAATGAGGGCATCCAGTACTTGCGTGACTTCCTGCACCTCCCGCCAGAGATCGTCCCGGCAACACTGAAGCGCCAGACACGCCCAGAGACTGCACGACCTCGGCCAACCAGAGGTATGGGGACGTTCATGATGCACATTTTAACTGACGGTGATCCATGAGTGGATTGATGCATTGTTTCTGCTAGCTACTTTGTCAACCTTTTGAGTTCTCCATAAATCATTAAATGCTGCGGGCCACTCCAATGTAGGCCACCTGCAACTTTTTGTGTAACTGGTTTGCCTGTTTTAACCATATAACTTTTAGTGTATGGATTAGTAACCATATTATAACTTTGGTGTATGGATTAGTCTATTGAGCCTTGCCTGTTCCTGCAATTGACATACTATGCTTGTGTTGACAGGACCTCCTATGCCTGGCGGTCCCAAGGATGGAGAGAGGGGAGAGTACAGACGTGCCGGTCCAGGTAAGATTGCTTGTTAAAACCTGCAACACATCTAAATGAATGATGGCCACCCTCATATGTAATGATGGATTTTATTAAGACAACTTGTACTGTTTAGAAACACAGAAATATTCTATGAAGATAGGTTAAGGAGTAAGGTTTTGGAAGAACATCATTCACATAAGTTTGCACTTACTCCTGATGCTGTTGACTCATGATCATGAAATCCATGGTACCCCGGTAATCACCCTCGTTTCTGTCTCAGGTGGCCTCGGAGACAAGAAGGCCGACGTTGGCGCACCTCCATCACAGCAATTTGAATTTGTGAGTACTCATCACTAGTGACTACCATTCTATGTTCCATTGTTGACAACATGAACTTAATGATTACTTCATGTTTAAGATTTTTGCTGGAAAAAAACACAAATATGTTTCAGTGGTAGTGGTATAGGGATATTTTTGGGAAAATACAATACTTAAAGTATTTAAAGAAACTTGAAAAATTGATTTTAAAAAATTATTTAATGTCTGACAAATTGTGTACATATTGTATAGGTTTGATACAGACATAAGAAAGCATTTGTGCTGACTGTTGTTCTCATTCCCTGTCCACAGAGAGGCGGATTTGGGCGTGGCAGGGGAGCCCCTCCTCAGTAGGACCCTGATGGATCACTTCAGTACAGATCTATGTCAATAAACCTTTGACTCTTCAACATTGTCCTTAGTCTGTTTTCTCTCTGCAATTTTATGACCATAGTGTTACCATAGTATAGCATAAAGCTTGTGGTATATTGTGTCTGAATGTGGGCAAGGGGTCCAAAAATGTATGCTTTTGGCTGTAGTGTACACTGTACAATCTAGGGTATCAGCCTATCAGGACATTTTTCCACGAGGACATTTCGCTGTCAGATGTTTGCAGCTCAATCTATGTTGTTCGAGTTAGGATTAGGGTTAGGTTTTAAAACGTCCTGAAATCAAAACACAGGTGGTGAATCATCAGGAAAGCCAGTCTAGAATTGTTATTGCTTAGTCCCTACACCATAGAAGCCATGTGATCTGTTTACTCCAAAATTTTCATTTCACCTTTTCAATTTCAGTGTCATCCAGAATTTGTTATTTCTGATAAACTTCCCAACACTCTCTGCACCAGTGCTTCCAGATACAGTGATTGTGCTTGTTTTATGCTGGGGTATTTCTCGTTCCTGCTCACTAGAGGAATTGTAATCACTAAAGACTGGTTGGACATCAAATGGGCTGCAATTGTGTCCATTTCCTGTTTCTAAAGAGATAATGTCAGTGTCATGCTCACAGGGCTCAAAACTAGGATTAACTATGCCCAAGCCAGAATCCTTTCTCTCTCGGCCAGTCCAGACATTTCTCATTGACTCCTCTTCCACAGAAGTGCAGTCATCATCACTGGTGGGCGTGCTTAGTGTTGACAGTAACCTCCGCCGGGTCATTGGGGAACACTTCTGTGGACCAAAGTTAAACCAATCAGTTTTCAATTTGCACATCCTTTGCCTTAGTTAAAAGATTGAAAAGTCGATTTTGTCCCAACTTCTAGAATACAAAGATTGGAATTGAAGTGTTCATCGTAAGCAAACAAGACCACACATAAGTTTAGTGATTAAATGTTGCTATGAGAGGGGGTCAAAGTAACATACTAACTGGACGCATTGCCCACCTGTATAATTTCTTGTTGTGTGGGCCGAGGAGGGATCCTTGGGGAGCGTGGTGTGCCTTGCCTTGTTTCAGAATGGGCTCTGCGCCTAGGATAGACAGACTCAGCTGCTGTTGGACTGTCAGTATGGCTCAGCACACGGTTTACCCGGAAAGTGGCATCATTGTTTGACCTGGTCTGACCACAGCAATCAGAACCAGCATCAGAGTCAACAACACTGATTGTAATCTACAGAGAAAGAAAGACGGTTCAAACAACTTTAGTTATAGGTAGCTAGCATGAATAGGACACTATATTAAATGTAAATGTAATATTTTGCATAGTTTTTTCACACAAATATACAGTAAGAGGTATTAATTCTACAAATTAGATGTATGCATTAATGTTACCTTGGGCAAGTCAAATTTGCTGGATGTCTGAAGCTGTTCTTGTGCTTGAACGTCCGCTTTATCGAAGTTGTGGCTATTCCTGCTGAAGTCTGTTCCCATACCGTTCTTCACAGCTGAATAACCTTCGTCTGTCAGTCCTATGCTGCTTACATCACTGCCTGCACGGCCATTTCTAGCTGACAGGTCTTCCCCCAGTAGGCTCATCCTACTGACGTCACTGCATGAGCCTTTCCTGCTGTTCTTGGACTTCTGGTGTTGTTTCTCAGCGGCTAGCAGATTCACCACAGAGAGCTGAAAAGGGGGAATGCAATTGTGCTCACATGCTCCGACACATGATCAGTATACTAGTACTCAAACAAAATTATTATACTTCTAGGGGAAGACCGAAGACCAACTCAATCCTATGAATATTAGGGTAAAATTAAGGTCGAATTGATTCATACAAAAGTTTGCTAGAATGGTATACACGGTTGAAATGGAGGGGAAACAAAGAAAATGGGCTTTATTTCCTGTAATTGAATTTCATCTTTACCTTGTCCTGAGCAGCCACCATGTGGACGTGCGGGTTGTTGTAGGGCCGGAGAAACATGGCAGGAACAAAACCCTCCTGTCCGCTGTACCTGCAAGGTCAATCAAAACACAATCATATACAAGTTGGTGAAAACATTTCTGGTGTTTGAACACAACACATTACCCCGTATATGCGGGCCCCTAGGTTATAAAACATGATGACGGTGTCCCTACTTCTACTTCTTACTCAACCCAAGCCCTCTTAACTTTGCCTTTCTTCCCTGTCAGAGATTCTGCCTCTTTGTCCCGATGGTTTCGTTGTGAATTTTCCTCACCTTACAAACCACCAGCCGTCGTCCGTTCTCTGTAGGACCTGCAGTGCTGCACCTGCGCAGAAGGAGAGCTCGTCGTCCTCGGTTGCCGTGTAGGGCCGGGCGGTGACATACAGCTGGGCAGGGTCTGACAAGAAAGGTTTAATACATTAGGAATACAGTACTATCCTGGACGCAACATGGGCTTTCACAGTCACCAATGTAAGTGGGAGAAAGTTGAGGAACGATATACTACAGGGTAGTTTTAATCATGATTATGTCACAGAGGGTTCAGAGACTGGAGTAGGGTCTTTGTGTTACCTTCCCGTCCACCGTCACTAGTGGATCCTGCCTCAGGAAGTGTAGTTGGGTTCCCTAACGACTGGTTATCCGGGCCTGCAGCAGGGGATGTGCCCTGGCCTGGAGTAGCGTGTGCGTCTGCCTCCAGGTGAGACGCCGGGACCCAGCCCCGTTCACACGACGCGTTCTCGACAAGCCACCAACCTGAGGGTGGTTAAGAAAACGATACTTTTAGACAAAACATATCCCATCTATATCGAGCGAGCTTTTAAACGTCAGGACCAAGAAGGTTAAATACATTTTAAACCTCCTTGGTCAGGACAAATGAGGCACACAGCTCACACAGAATATTCAGGTCTCTTACCTGAAGGTGTGGTATGGATGACGTCACACACTTCCCCAGCCTTCAGGCTCAGTTCACCTTTAGACACGGCCTTATAGTCTGCGACTGCGCTGTAGGAGTCCAAATCAAACAGAGGAGCAGAAATTTCCAGATCTGGAACAAGAAGCCAATTCACAATGTGATTTGCGCTATATATACAAGTAAAGGGGCGTGTACACGTGTGTAGAGACATTAAAAATGCAGTCAGTTGATGGACTTGAAGTCACTCTCTCATTGGTCGAACCGCTCTTTTTCATTGGTTGAACTGTTAATTGTGATGGACAACCAGGCTTATATGTACAAAATGTAATCCCACTGACACTGTCGAAGTCTGGTAACAGAAACGACTGTCATGGGCTGTTCTGTTCAAAGCAGATCCTAGGGTGGCAAAAAGACCCAAGGAGGGTCCAATTCGCCTCCCACAACGGTTGGTGGGATAGCGACCAAAAACGAGCCATATATAAAAGGTAACGATCTTCCCCCCCATCAACCTCTGATTGGAGAGTATGTTCTAGTGACTACGTTTACGTTACATGGTCCTTACAGGACGGGGTTTGACTTACCACATGGTGACCGCGGTTGCTCCGGCTCTGCGGCGTCGGTCGGGATGATCATGACGGTCTTCTGGCGTCTTTCACTGTAACAAACGGTGGCAGCAGTTAGAGGTGGTGACAAGAAAAATTTCACGTTAAGGGAGAATAAAAAGTTGATGACCAAAGGTAATAAACATTAATCGACTGTGATTTTTTTGTTGTTGCGTATCATATAGCACAATCCAAGTACTGTTAAGTGCATGTGCGCGCCTTTGGTCCAGCCTTACCTGTTCTGGAAGGAACTCAAGTCGTCATCTGAAGGTGCGAAGAAACCTTGGATCAGCGGAGAGAGCACGATCTTGGAATCCAGTCCCAGAAGATCCTTATTGAAAAATACCAGATGAAAACATCTGTTGTCAAGCTGAAGATTGGCTTGTATCCTATAACGTCAGGGGATATGAGACCCAAATGCCCTCGAGCTCGAAAGAAAAATGTTCAAGTCTGTGTTACAAAGAAAGAGCCGTGTACATACAATACAATGTAACTTTTTATCGCTGTACACATACGCTTCTCCTCATACCTGGCAGTATGCCTGTAGGTCCTTCAGCACACAGGCGAACCTCCCGACAGAGTACTTCCTCCCGAGGACTGGGCTGGGCGGCTTGTCTGCAGGAGAAAGCGCGAGGGGGCGTGTCAGCTTGGTGACAAATGTTTCAATTGCATGCGAACACCAGTTCCGTAGACTATGTAATCTGATGCAAACGTGACACTGGATTCTATATAGTAATTTTAGGAAGATCATTTTCTTCTTCGTGTGCGTTTTTGTTGGTTTTATTTCTACCTTTATATATCAGTACAACCCCAATGTTCTTTCAAAAGTTCCGTCTCAAACTAGTCCACACTTACTTGGGAACTTGGGCAGCACCTTATCCTCTCCCCTGAACTGGCCAGCCTCAACGGGAAACATCTCTTTCAGTTGTTTCTGTAAATATTTGTAATCAAGTGAGTTCTGATTCACTTGAATCGAACAGGTACAAGATAACACATGTACAGGTAACTTTACAGTGTGTGGTCATTTGATCAGGTAATCGCGTCGGCGCGCGTCGGCATGTAAACCTAGGTCGTTAGAGTCCTTTAACAAACTAACCAAGCTACTGTAGTAAAATTTACGGGTTTATGTTTAATTTCAGTGGTACATATATCCATAGTAACCTTACATGTAGCGCACGGAACTGCCTGTAGGAGCGGTAGACCACCAGACGGGACCCGTCAGACCACAGCTCCGACACGATATACACCTGGATGGAACACGAAGCGCCAAGTTATGTAAGAAACCAATATAAATGAGTCCAAGATTTAAACTAAACTTGATTACGTAGAAGCCGGCAAATGTTCCAAAAAATATAGAGAGTGGACTCGGTTGTCGGGCCATATTGTACAGACACCGACATTGAAAGCCTTTGGCGGCCGGACTAGTACTGACAGTCGCCCTGCCATATCCCCACAACTCCATTAGTAATACCCATTGGGGTTATTTGAGTGTATCGGAGAAGAAGAAGAAGTATGCGCGAGTTTGTGCGTTTGTACACGGTACTCACGTGGTGCCTACGCGGGGAGTACCGCTTCTCCACCCCCACCACCTGTACATCCACCAGCCGGCGGCCCGAGCCCGACACGTCCGACCGCAGGGACCAGCTGGAACCTGCTGACGGGAGGAAAACGTTTCAGGTGAAGTGAAACTACCCACATACGGCTCAGATCAATGAACGTGACCCTGTTCTTTATTAGAAACCAATTGTAACAAATGTACACGAGTTACAACTGAATCAACAATGAATTGCCACTCACCTCCTAAGTCAGCTTGCAGTAGGCCCAACATCTTGTTAACTTGCTGCTGAGACAAAAAGTGCTCGAAACGTGACTGACAAAACAATTCTCACAAGGTAGTGCTCTTTACAATATCTTCTCCAAACAGGCGACGTTATTTCAGCTTTTCAACTTTGATAGAAGACAGAGTTTGGTTGGGAAACTTGGGATGATAACAGGTTGGCTTTGCCACACTCAGTCCAGCGTCTGTCGGCGGCAGGTGTTGAGACTGACCGGGCTCTGCCGGTGCCCTGTTAGGGTTAAATACTGCGGTGTAAACAGACCACCCTGCCCTACGGGCAAGGGCCAAACGTCAGTGGGTTATAGTGTTACCGCTCAGCGCTCTGACCAGTCGTACGACAGGACCACTTTAATACGTCAGCGGATATGAATACAAAAGTGTGAATCAGGGTGCATTGTGCGGCCTGGCTGACTCGGACGCCACCCTAACCTACTTCGTGCAACACACGTCACACTGATCCCGCTCCGGGAATAGAAGGACAATGCTGTTTATCACAGACCTATCACGATAACTGAAACAATGGAGGTGTGCTGGGCAGACTATAAGTGCCTGGGCTTGTCACGGCACAGATTACCGCTCCGTACACGTACGGCCGGCCCGGGCTGCTGGACATCATCAGCTTTGCGTCACAACCCTCGCATGTGAACAAAAGGGGTCATTTTGCGCATTGTCCGGCCTATCTATATAGCTCCATGTCTAAATCTGTACTTAGTCACTGACAACCACGCCTTTGGTTAATTATCTCACCGCATCCAGTAATAGTCTTATACACTTGTATTAAGAAGTTAGATGTCTGACAAAAAACTGCCTTGTCGTCATCAGAAGTTGCGACTTGCCTTGATGGGGAAATACAGATGAGCATCATCTCTAGCTTGCAATATCTGTCACGATGTTCTTCTATATATAGCGCTTGTCAGTCAAAAAGACAAAAGTCGTAGGCTACAGTCCCTGAACTCCATGGGGGATCTCTAACTTATCACTGGACACTTCCAATACCTGATTTGACTAGCTACTAAAGCTAACACTGTTGAGGGATGCAGGTCTTGTGACTTGTGGGCAAACACTATCTTACAAATTCAGCATTGACAATGCTGTATGATCAGCATCAAAGCTTGCCAGCCCGTGACATGACCTATCAAATCTTGTTTTGAGCTGAAAAGTTGACATGTCATATATTACATACTGCCACACAGTCTCCATTTTGGGCAGCTCTACGAGAAGGTATTGGGATAACGATGCCACATCCCTGGTGTACAGACTTTGTTTGAAATGTGTAAAAAAAAATTAATGCATCGTGTAATGTGTGGTGCATAACACCAGCAATGTGCTGTCTGTGTACCACATGTAATGTATTGTGTTGTTACTATTTAAATATACTCCCTTATCAACTAGTATCATCACAATATTCTTTGACAATAGAGACTCTACAGCATAGGATAATGTTGAAAGCAACAAGTTTATTCCTTATTCTTTCATTCATCAATTGTACCATTAGCTAACACACCAGACAGGAACAGATTCATGTTCAACCAGATAATACTTGATAACTACTTGTGATACAAGTATGTGTCTGCTTGTATGAAAAATGTATTCAAAGCAACATTCTTGTGAATACAGGCCAGGTATGAGTAGATCAGTCCTGTTAAGCAGTTCTTTTAGGGATCCATTTCTTTCCATTGGTTCCATATCCAGCAGGCTTGTGACTTGATCCAGTCTTGTTTGGAAAACACCTCGCCAGTCACTGTGCAGTCCTGTATATACTAGTACTAGTACAGTAGTAGTCCTCCTCTAGTCAGGAGATGGAGATCCTATTCTCTCTGCAGCCTGGAGCAGGGATGTGAGAAACAAGCCATTGGTAAAAGCAATGATTTTAAACACAGAAAAATGGAATTCAACAGGATTTATGCATTGCTATCCTTATATTTTTGTACCATACGTGTAGTGAATAGCCCCTAGGTTACAGCTAAGCTTTGACTTTGTCTGGAGCTTATTATAACTTTTGGCAACAAACTGACTTTCATGTATTAAGAAATAAAGACTATGACCAGGGTATGGCCTCCAGGCAAAAGTACCGTCACACCTTTAGGGCAGCTGTTCTCTTCTCAGTTCCTTGATGACTGAGGCGAGTGCTTCTGGGTTCACCCCCTGCTCAATCAGACGTACACAGATGGACAGGGTCTCCGAGTCCAGACCTGTGTTCAGTAGTCTGGAGATCTCCTGTAGAGCTGGTTAGAGACAGATTCCAACATGTGTTATAAAATACAATTCCTCACCAAGATGATCAGTTGGATATCTGTACTAGTAATGCTATCTAGTATTGTATTAATGTTTCAAGAGAGATTACAAAATACTACCTACATGTAGCTGCCATTCATAAATAACGATCTTATCTCCTGATATCCACTGAACGTGAGTGGTGAGGTAACTACTAAAACATGTATAATGTCAGTCCATAGTTTACTGCCTCTTTTCGTGCAAGGAAGCTGGAAGAAAGTGAATCTTTACAGAGGGTGATATAAAGGCCAGAAGACATACTTATATGTAACATGTTACGTTTAGTACTTGGGTGGCTTTGCTCAGTATATTCTATAATGATTACACTACATTACTGGAGCTGAACGTTGATTTTCTATCTGGACTTTGCTGGAACAAGTTACACAATAAAATGTGCGTGAAGTGATTCAACGGATGTAACATGTTATTTGAACTTGATGTAAAATTTCTATTATGATTCAAGACACATTTTTACCCAACAGTTTTGATGGGGACCTCTTCAACGTATTATGTTTTCATGCCCCTATATCAAACCTTAAACAAACAAATAGTATATACGTCCTGTCCCGACCCTCTGCACCTTCTATCAACCCCACACGATCGAGAACTTACTGTCCATAGCCTCCCTGACCGAATTTGTTCGCGCCTCCGCCATTTTCAACTCAAATCTCGCACCTCAAAAAATTATGACCCAAATCTCGCGTGGTTTGCATTACCCACCAGTCTTTTCGAAAAATGCAGCCCTCTGGTTGGTCGGTCTTACGTCAGGAGGAAACATTTAAAAACTTGATCTGCCGTACTTTGAGGAGAGGTTGCACCGATTGATGACGAATTTGTCTGTTTAGACAACATTTCAGAAGCCCCAGCGTCGGCAGACACGTAGATGAGATAATCAAGGATTTGTATTTACCCCCCAACTGGAGATCTAGCCTCTGGTTTGGACGGAAAACGTGAGACAGCTTCCAATTTTGTATGTAACCGAGAAAACATCTCGTGCGTGCTATATCGTAGTGAGTGCGTACTGTTATTGTTATGAGAAAAAATTATTATTATCAATTATGACGTAAATCCCACAGAAGATGGTCTGTACAAAGTTATAGGCAGTAGTAATACTAATGTTCAATCCTGACTGCTCAATTCGAATGCATATCTGTGCCATTCTGTGTATATTATTTTTAATATTTTGAGCTTTGAGGTAATTATTTGTATCTTAGATGTGAATGAATGATTTGTGTTTTAAACCTCATATTTGACTGATCATTGCAAATTTAGAATTTTAACATAATTTTTATATTGTTTTAGACCAGTAGTTGACGTTAAACGTTGATAAATTTGGTTCATTTGCAACCTGCAGTACCATGGCAGAGGAGACCCCTTCCAGTGTCCAGGGATCAACCAGTAAGCCATCCATGGTGGGGATGGAGGACAGTGCCAGTTTGTACCTCACTGCCTCACAGGGATCGACCATTAACCCATTCGAGGTGGGGGTGGAGGACAGACTGCACCTCACGGCCCTCAGTCCCTCTGTGTTTGACAAGGTGGAGTCAACCCCCTCCTCAGGAAGCACGGTCAGTCCACTAGGAACATGTCATAGTCGACATCAACACATGCTCTGTCTCCTAGCTACTGTAAATGCAGTTACCTTTGCTGTGGTTTTATTTTGCAGTAGGAGATCAGAGAAAAGAAGGGTTTTTAGGTGCTTCAAATTTGCAGTTGAAACAGTTTTCTACTTCTACTTCTACACGATACTAAGCAACACCCCTCGCGGGGCCTAGTGCTTAGGGGAGTGGTCCTTCCCCAGCGTGACCGGTGTTGGTGGTAAAAAAACAAACAAGAACAAAAACAAGTGCAGTGAGTGACTATATACAAAAGTCGTAGCTGGGGGTTGGCCACATTCCTACAGCTGGGTATAGCTAGGGAAGCCATAATGGCTGGCGAGTGGCTTTAAAATGCTCAATTGACTTAGCCATTACCAGATGGTCAGGTAGGGCATTCCATTTGTAGTACAATTACAGTAGAACTTGTGTAGAAGTATAAAACACATTATTCATAGCATAGTGTTATGATTTTGCAGTAAGATGTTACTGAGAACAAACCACAGCTTCTGCATATACAGTATGCTACACAATATGGAATTGTATATCTTGAGTACAACTGTCCACTCTGTCCTGTCTCCAGGAGTTCCGCTGGTCCATTGACCAGATGGCCATCCTGCACCCAGCTGACATCCCCATGGAGGAGGTGTCCAGGCAACACGACACGCTGCATCTCACGTAAGTCTGACAATAACATCATGGCACATGGTATCTTACAGGAAAGAGTCATAAGCTTGATATGCTTTTGCCTTTTCATCCACAGTCATATAACGATTCCGATAAACATGTAGGAACTGTTTATGATTTTGTGTTTGTGCCTTCAGCCATGACAGAGATGTGGAGGAGAAGGCCCAGCGTGCCATCAACCAGTTCTTCTCCCAGTCTGTCGTTGTGCCGTCACCATGGACACAGTCATCACCACGTAGGAAAACTAACAGGGTGACAACACAGCAGGGTAAATGTTTGCAGATGCAACCACTATCATTTTCAAGCATACTACCAGTAGTATAAAGGCCATGAGTATTTGAACCTGTCAATGAGAACTTGTACGAGTATGTTGATCTAAATTAGTAATGTAACTTATTGTAAGTTTCAGATCCTTATTGGTAGAATACTTGTAACCTGCTGCAGTACCAGGAAAGGTTATAACCATACCAGAAACTTAAGAAGAAAATGATATCCTAAAAAATCCTGAGAGAGTGAGAGGTGAAAACCAAAAGTCCTTTAAACTGATGTTTTCTGGGCCTACTGTAGGTGTGGCAGAAGGTGCTGATCAAGAGTCATCCTTCATAGAGACAAGAGCAAAGGAAGGGACAGCACATGGTAAGTTCAGCAGTCCATCCTCCACATTGCTCCAGACTGACCACTTTCCTATAACTAGAACTTGCCTGATTCTTCACAATCAAATTTCATTTTATTGGGTGAAATATCAAAATATCAATGATTATTCTTGAAAGATCAAAAGACCTGTGACCAGGTTGTATTTCTACAGTTTGATTGTTCCAACCTGTCTCATGTTGATCTTTTTTTCCAGCTTCCTGCCAGACATTACTGACACTACCTCCAGACTTCAACTTGGAAGCCCTTCTTGGTGAGTTGAGTGCGTGAGTTCCCCATACAAAATTGTTCTGTTACTGATTCTTCCCACAATATCACAGGTTCATCATGCATGGAGCTCATTATGTACTGCCCCCCTCCCTCCCAGGTCCGGAGTATTTCTCCACCCCCCAGCCTGTCCCAGAGGACCAGGAGCAGGAGGTACTCAGCACATCGTCCCTCCGAAGGAAGCTGTTTTTCCAGGGCGACCTGTCCACCCCCTTCAGTCCCGTCAAGTCGAGCAGTCCAAAGTGTAAGAAAGGTGGTGGCCAGTCCATGGACTCCCCGCCCCTCTCACCTGTCAACCGTGCTGCGTCCACCTGCCCACCACATGTCAGGAGCAGCCCGCTGCTCAAGACACCCAGCTCTGTAAGTTTTTCTTCACAATTAAACTAAAACAGAAAAGCAATGCCAAAGAGCTGCAGGTCATTACAATCTGTGAGTTACTATTACTCATGTTATATTTTAGCTGTTGCTATTCTACCAAGGTATGAGCTTTTGTGACAGTAAAGGTCACATGTTTCTGACCAATCTTTTTTTTTCTCCCAGGGCTCCCAGTTCTCTTCAAGTCCCATCATCCTTAGCAAGATGACACCCAGCAACAGACTGACAACCACACCCAAACCCAGCCGCTCATCAATCATACCCGTTTCCATGGGAACGCCTGCCATCTCTCCCATCGGGAAGTCAATCTTCAGGACACCCAGCTCCAGTACTACATTCTTCTACTCATTACTTCTTGTGTTGTATCTTATCAAAATTATGTTTGTATTGGGACAAATCAACTACATGTAGTTTCTGCCCAAAATTGTCACCCAGAACTGCAAATTAATTTTGTTCACTTTGCAAACTGCTACTAAGAAGTGCTTCACAGTATCCTCTTCACTGCTAATCATAGCTTCTCCCTTTTTCCTCAGGTGACCGTGATGTCAGTGTGTTCACCATCCCCCCTACCCCCTCCTGCAGGAGAATAAAGGGCACCCCCTCCCCCTGTAGTCACGCCAGGCTCAGGTATGGACTATGTATTTACTGCCGTGTGTCCTGTCTTACTTCCAAACATCCAAACTCCACAGTCATATGAGACTCATCCATTTAATCAACACAGAACTGCATGTCTTCATAGCTTTATTACTACTTTCTCAAGTCTACATCAATGAAGAAGGAATACATGAATACAAGTTGTCAGATTCCTACTGGGTTATTTCAGTTTGACATGTTTTCAGGAGGGAAAATTTTTATACTTTCTAAAGTGATCCACTCACGTATATTGTAAAAGTATAAAATTTGACACTTTTCTGAATCATGCCCCCCTCCAGTGCCATGACTACCCCAAACCTGTCCCCTATTGGAGCTGTCCAACGGCACTGCAGACCTCCCTTCAACAGGAACAACTCCTCCGCCTCCACCAGTCCGCGGGAGAGCACGGCCAGACGGGGCAGCCATGTCCTGTCCCTCAGCTTTGCAGGTACGTGTCATTAAACACAGCAACGATAACATACTTAAGCCATCGTACAGATTACTGGTATGTCGATGAAGGTGAGACATCAAGGTAATGATGCAGGTACACAAGAAAATAGTTACTCAAGCAACTGGATAGGTTTTGAAAACTGTCAAAAGTTACAAGTACTTTTTGTCAGTCACTGTTTTTTTGTGTAGATTATTGGTGTTTGTATACTTTTAACATTATCTGCGTTCTATTAATAGTATTATAGTGTACAAAGGCTGAAGTTGTCTCTTATCCAGTCTGGTTACTTTTTGATGATGGGCAATCCTGCCGTAAAACACTGATCATGTTCCTTAATGGTCCTTTAACATATAACCTTCCCAACAGATGAGGACAAGCCTCAATGTGAAGCTACTGAGCCCAACTGTCAGCCTGCTGTGATTGGTTGCCCAGAGGTACATCATGCCCACCAACCGCTGAGTTCACCCGAGTCGCAATCTAATATGGAACACAGTTGCCATGGTGACACCACTGAGGAGGAACTGTTAGCCAATGGGATTCTAGAAACAGTCAGCGACGGAGGATTCTGTGGAGAGAGAGCCACTCGGAAGTACCCAGATCACTACTACTGCGATTTCAACATCGTTCCCCCGGGGTCAGAGGTTAATCACGACTGCAGCCAAATGCAAGTGGACAGCGGAATCAACTGTCAGACCAGCTCGTCAATGGAGGTGGAAGGGGCGGAGATGGAAAAAGAAAACCTACGCAACGTTTCAAGGAGACTCCTTACTGCAGCAAAGTGTCAGCTGGAGAGCGTGCCAGAAAATGTGTCTATGGAGGTCATGGACGAGGACAAAATGGCCGACATGGGGAAGGACAGTCAAGGTCAAACAAACTGTGACTCGGGAACAGGAGTGTTCCACAGAAAACAGCCACTGGTGGAATCCAATAATGCACAAGAAGACTTTCACAATAGGTAGAAAGGCATGGTGCTTTTGTCATTATAGCTTCTAAATGTGACATATGATTATGAAAGGTCTAAACTTCCTGATGAAATAATTCAAATGAAACTGGGGAGAAAGAAAAAAAGGGAAATCAAGAGCGTCAGGACTTTTAGGGATAAAATGATAATAGTTTTAGAGGAGACTTCATCATCGTTTTATCTAATTGTCAATCAAAGATACACTGTGTGCAAAGAGTCCAAAGCCAAAGAAAATTTTATCGTGGCTTAAGATAATGTAAATTTCAGCAAATGCCAAGGAGAGAATCATGTTTGTTGTTCAGTCTTTATGGATACTGGTATTGGAAATGCATACAGATGCTATCATGGGATGATTCAAAGTTATCCTCGGATGAGCGACAACTGACCTTTTCACTAATTAGTTTATGTTACTAATTACGGTAGTTATCACTTATCAGCTTCATTACTACTGTACAATGACTGGGTTTTTCAAGTGCAGCTATGATGCAATATATTGATAGGCTTTACAAATTGTTATGTTTTTTACTGTACATGTAGCGTATTAGATATCTTTTCCATCTTGGTCTGTGACTGTTAATGATACATGTGCATATGTGACACAAAGAGATGTGCAAAAGTTATTTTTCTATTGTCCGGTATATATGTATGTGGGTAGATCTATGTCCCTGTTCAAGGTAGGTAGGTCATACACATGTGACCAGTAGATTCTGGTTTGTAGTGTGACCAGTGTACTAGTATATTGTACCTCCTAGCTAGTTTTAACCTAGCTTGTACATCTACACGAGTGTTTCATTTCAGATGTGAAGAAGGAAACATATCACATACAGCTAACTTTTTTACAGATCTTAGTTTTACCTGAAAACATGTTCACAGAGGTGTGCTTCTAATGTTTCTGTTACTTTTAGTACGTGTAGTTACGATCGCCATCAAATGACTCGTAGTACCAAACCGAGATCTTGATAATTGACTTTTGTTTGTCTTTGTGATTCTATGATTTTGGAATGCCATGTGGACCAGGCTAAAGCAGAGAAAGCACTTTGTCTAAAGATGAAGTACATGTACCAATTGTGTTAAGAAACATGAAAGAACAAAGAAAACAATAATTTTTCTTCTCTGCTATTTTGGCAACATGGATGAGCTATATTGAAGACATGATTACCTTCTTACTCGGTTATTATTATCAGCAACAAGACATTTACACTCACAAACATCAATTGCTACTGCATATCATTGTAGCATCCCAGAGTGATGTGGGTACATCTTACACTGATGACATTCAACTTTTCAACAATGACATTGTGTTGTCTGGCTTTCTACTTCAATATACTACATGTATAGCGGATTGAGCCAACCAGCTTTCTACACCAGTCGTTACATAAAACGTGAATCACTCAAACAAGGCGTAATAAAACGTCCCATGTAAGGAGAATGAGCTCCGACGCCTGCCCTCCGGTAAGAACTGGAGGTGGGTCAGGAGGAGGTCGGGAGAAGTGGAGCCCGCGGCCGGGAGACTACCCTCTCCACACTGGGTAGGCTGGCCTATCTGCAAATTGGGAAAACAAAGGCGTTTTTTTAACAAGAAAAGTAACACTTGCAAAGCAAATGCATAATGTTTACCTTCGCATATGGCCTGCTCCGACACATTCAAATATATATGGTGATAGGAGTTTAAAGCCATCTACTACGAAATTGCAACATTATGTAACCCACACCAGTTGCCATGGTGACAGACGTCAACAAATCAGTTCATTGGCCAGGTCAGAGGTGGGGAGGAAGAAGAAGAAACTGAGCAAAAACAATATGTTTTCCTTTGGGAAACATGGATAATACTTGTCTTGCTGTATTCACTCGGAAAAATCCCACATAACGTAGACATCCAAAATGCCTACGAAACGTGAAGACAAATATTTGGCAGACATCCAGCCGGTTTCTCATTGGTCGAACCGCTATTTGCCACGCCATCATTGGTTGAACTGCTAATAGTGATGGACAGGTTATATACGGGAAAAGGAGGATCAAGTCCAACACACCTTCTCCTGACAAATGAATTTCGTACAGGAGCCCCGCATTAGACGAACCCTTGTGTAGCTCTCCCTGTCTCCCGCTGGAATGGTGACGTTGACGCTACGTGACTCGTTATCTTTGCGCTGCAGTTCCAAAGCCGTCAGCGTGGTGGGGTTGTTTACTCCGTCCGCCTTGAAGCTGAGGGATATGTCGCAGTTGACGGAGACCTTGCTGAATTTGGACTCTGCAGAGAGATGTCAGAAATTCAACATTTCTTATTTGAACGTTGACGAACATAAAAGAAGCAAGATTCTATCAGGTCCCAAATAATCTTTTTTTTTCAGATTTTTGTTCGATGGCGTCCCTGTGCTGTGGTATTTCCTGCTGTGTCTGTAAGAATTATATATCCTACATGAACAGAATTGCAAACCAACTGCACTTTGGTTCATACCACAAACAATCGGTTATTCTAGTCCCCCGCTAAGTTTCTTTCCACAGTGCCCCCGCCCCTGCACGCCTGTCCGATGACGCCTCACCTCTGATCATCTTGTGGTCCCTGTCGGACAGGAGGCTCACGGTCAGGTTCTCCTTCTCGCCGTCGTACTCCCAGGACTGGTCCCACAATCCCACGCGCGTCCAGCTCGCCCCCGACTCCTACGTGATCGTAAATACACCTATCACAAGTCTAAACCGTGACAGTAGATATGTAGGTTTTAATCTTTAAGAACTGTCAGAGACGTAAAAACGTCTAGACGTTCTTAGGCCAATGACATTTTGACACTCAATAAGTGAGAAAGTCATTCATTTGCATTGATACAAGGAATGTATCAATACCATTGATTTAACATGAAGTGCAATGGCCAAATACACACACACACACACACGTGCACAATTGCAAAGTTTTGTGATGAAGATTCAGAATGATGCATGCATGCATATGCCCATGTTATCAACGGTTGCTACAAAATATCACATTGACAATGATTGTAGCGTAGTGAGGATGATTTGACGTGAAGTGTAATAAACTCACGACAATACATGCAGACATGATAAAAAAAAGGAGATCCAGCATAGTTGACTGTTATATCTCACCGGGAATTCGCAGTAAACCTTGTACATGTCGGTGTTGGGTCTGACGTGATAGTATCCCTCCTCCGGTACCTCTCCCGTGTGCTGCAGGTACCGTGTGCGCACGTCACTACAGCCCCGGGGAGGGTTCTGTACCAGGCCTGGGGAGAGGGGGCATTGGCTGTGTTATACTGCACGTGGCTTTCTCTGTTGGATCACTTTACAACTTTTTTCTAAATCGCCAGCCACTGTGCGGCAAAATTGGCCATGGTGTGTAATTTGAAATCATTTTTTGGTCCGTTTGGGAAATAAACTCTAAGGGTTCTAAGGGTTTCTTGCTGACAAAACTACGGGTCTGACTCATTGAAACTGTGATCAAGAAAGACCGGACGAGTACAGTCTAACTTCTATGTAGCATGTCTAAATGAGTTTGCAAAGGGTGCTACTTACCCATCTCCAACTCGCGAACATCCTTGTTCAGTTTCTTCAAGCTGTTTTCCATCTAAGGGTGAAAATTGTGAACAAACCATTTGTATTGGTGATAATTTCACCCCAACAAGAGTACGATGTTTGTTACGATTTCTATCCACATATGTATCGCTCACCTCCTGTATATCCGCCGCTATGGGTATCCAGTCCTTGCCATCACACACTTCCAACACCATGTTGAACACCTTCCGCGCACGGCCCTCCTTACAGCCGCGTCTGCGCTCGCTCCCAGGGGAGCCAGCCCTTCTCCCAGAACTCGACCCCAGGGTGACGAGGAGAATCGCCAGGCTGGAAGGACGAAACTTGCTTTTAATCTCATATAATATAGGTATAATCAATCAAATTGAATTTTAAAAAAAAGAGAGCTCTCGTGGCCTCGTAGAACCCACTTAGGTCAACCTTCTTTTAAAAAAACACGTTTTACGAATTATTTTATTCGTGACTGTCATATAGACTGTCATAGTAGTACTTCATTTGGTCGTTCCCATGCCATTATGGCGGTTCCATAGCTCTCGCAAAGCTAGAATCCATTCGGAAAGGTCTAGGTTTAAGTCTCTGGATTAGCCCAGGCGCGCTTATGGGCGGGTCGGAGGCGTGACATGGGCTTTTCATGGGCATTTCCATGACGTCACCAGGTAGCGGTGCTGTTATTGGTCGTTTGGAATCGCGCGTTCACATGTAGTTCACGTGCATGTCCATACGGGATCGTAATCACGGGGCCTGAGGACCACACGTTGTAAATCATGTGTAGTGTGATGTACATATGATGTCAGAATAATTTACTCGGATTCTTATCTGCCAATTACCACGACGGTTACTGAATGTGTGTTCTCACTCTCAGTGAACTGAATTCAACGTACACCGCAAGTGCACATTCCACGTACATGGGCAAACTACTAAGTCACAAAGTACAAAATTTAAAAGCATCCCTTCTCGTTGTCTTAAGTAAATACGACAGTAGGCAAAAGTCGAATACCACGACTCTATCTTTCCTCAGGATGACGTCGACACTGAGCAGACCGTAGACGAAAGTAGCGTGGAGATCTAAGCTCCAAGTAGATCCTAGGGTGACAAAAGACAGCAACAAATTGGTCGGTGTGCGTATGGACCCTGTCCGGTGAATGGATACTGCCTGGCCAATTTGCTACTATCTTTTGCCACCCTGCTTGGAGATTATGGAGATCTAAGAATAGACTCCTGATCATACCTGTCACTCCGTCTTCCGGGATTTGTCAGGCTGACAGTCACATTGTCAGTTACGGAATGTCCTTCTGGCTGCTTTGCTACTAGGAGCAATATTGGGCTGGATGAGCTAACTACATGGGGAAGGGCTGGATCGCAAATGAAGGCTATCAATGATGCCCATTTGATTCCCTCTCAGCCACCCATCAATTAAAACACCCGCGAAGCATGGGTGTTGACTGGCCCGAGTGTCGGTGACCTGCGTCTTAACTACGTGTATTACAGTATTTCAAGGCGGAATGCGGATGTAAGAAGACGGTAGTACACATGGTACTTACAACATTATGCGGTTCATGATGACACGAGGTCGTCTGTGCTGTGGTCTGTACTTTTCTGAAGAAAAAAAAACAACATGATGACAATACTGCTGTGTGCGGGCGAGAGATGTCTTAGAGGGAACGGCGAACGACTTGTAAACAATTCACTCCAGATCATGTAAGTATATAGCATGACTACTAAGTGCTCATTGTACATTTCGTGATATTATGAAGGTCAAGTCTGTCAAGTCTTAATTTGTTCTGTGTGTTTTTATACGCAGCCTCGAGTCGTAGAAATGTTAGGAATTCGCGTCTACAACAGCGGTATACACACACATATTGTACTGTCGGACGTAAATACACGTACAAATAAATATATGAACAAACGCGGTTATATCATTGCAAAGTGTCAGCTCAATGATTGTATTTTGTCCTTCTTGTACAAATGATAACACTCTAACCTTTTGAATCAACATTCTTTAAACTACTTAAAGCCTCTATGGTCACACATTTCTCTACAAAGTTAAACGCGCGGTTTATACTGATCAGATATGAACACAACAAACATCAGACGGAGATAGTATTGGCGCTGATATTCCCCACCTCACACGAGTGCGTATTCCTCTCGTCGTACTACATGTATGTTACCCGAGCTCTCCGATATGCAATGCTGCTCCGCCGGAGAGAATTTAAAGGTACAGAAGGCAGGAGAAGTACAAATAAGCACATAGGTTTGCCTACCTGTTCTACCTATGGCCGACCAAGACTGGAAGCCGCGATGACAGAACCTTCGAATGTTTCTCTCACAAACCGGACATACCGTTCCTCCCAGAGGACCACAGGGGAGGCTTGTTTGGTAAATTTGGAGGTGGTGTGACAGACAGGCGACGAATAGAGAACCTGCCGTCTGAAACATGGATATCTACTCAGCCAAGACCACATAGGTAGAAAATGTCCCTCTGCTAATGACGCGTCAACGACGGTCAAGTATGGTGGAATGTATGTCTATTTTTAACATGGACAGCAAATATACTTGCACATTCAACTATGCTATTAAGGACACTTGCTCGTGGACTCTTTCTTCAGAGCAATTGACCATTAATGTAAAGCCATAACAGGTGCTATCATACAGTAAAATGTTGGAAAGACATATAGGGGCTTGTAGCAGCGCACGTAGGGTAGGCGTGCCCGGGGCGTGGAGAGGGAACGTCGCACCACACAAGGCTGGGTGATTCACCGTCATAAGAACCGCGCTCCCTTACTACATTTCAGTCACAGGACGGCGGCAACAGCAGACAACAACAACCCCTAGCCTAGTGTGTCACATCGCGACACCTACAAACTTCAACTCGATCAAGGCCAAGGCGAACCGCAGAGATGTCGTGGTAAGAACCCACCGTTACGTCATGTTCTCTACACGGCTCGACGCTAAAAGCTGAGTTACAAACGTCGTGCGATCGTCGTGCGATCGCAAACAGAGGCCATTCTGGAGACAGAAGCGCACAAAAGTCAGCTATCATGTCCCAGAAAGGACTTGTCGCAATGTCGGCGGCCACAGCCTGCCTGAAGATTCTACAGCGTCAAAATTGTACGACGACCTACGATGAATGTGACCGCGTCGAAAGGTTTACGTTGATTAGATAATTAGAAAAGTCCCCACTGATCATGAGATAAGCCAATTTACAGTTTTATGATACATGTATAGGCTAATCTTTGTTTTCGAAAGAACATGGATACAATTTCGTCCTTTCTGTGTTAGTTTCTTGAAAGCATGTTCCTGTGTCTGTTAAGTGTGTAAACCAAATTGACCACTTTCCAAATAGTCCTTAAGCTCGAGATCAACTGATTGGATGGGATTCTGGACGTTAGCTCTATAGAAACACCGATCGCTTGCTTAATTTGCAAATTATGCCAAGTTTTAAAACTGTTCAGTAAAAATATGACAAACACAGGACGAAAATCTAAAACGGTAATAACCAGCTGTTCTTTTCCAGCCATCGCAATGGTGATGTTTTGTTCGTTAGGAAGTTGCTTCACATGCGTATATCAATATAATTGTTCCTTAAGGCGGGCTGTTCTTGCCAAATACCTTTCGCTCGATCGACCTGGAAACTGAAAAGGCGAAGCTGCGACAATGAGGTGAAATTGGTGTAGTTCTTCAGAAATCATGGAGTAAATTTTTGCGACTTTCAGAGCTAGGCTTTTGAGCAAAGCCATGTAACATTACATATTAGTGAAGGGCCTATATATGACCTTTCGAGTTACTCTCCAAGCAGAGGTAATATAAGGCTTGTTTTAGACGTTTTGTAGCGTTTTAGGCTTAGGATACACAAAGAAAAGCTAATTTATGCTCAGAGAGCACTTTCTACCGCCGGTTATCATAAGCACATAACGATCGTTTAGGACTTTCCATTACCAGTATCCAACTGATCGCGGTAACCAAGATCGAAAACTACAACCAAAAAGAAACATCATCAATGCTGTTTTGTGAGGACCGTACATGGTCGTTTTCTTACTATGTCCATGTAGATTTACACCACCAGAACCCGCGGGCGTACAGACGGGCGTGTCGGTGGCGTGTATCACCAGCAGCCAATCGCTGCCCGAACAGATGAACATGCTAAGCTGCATAATAACGGGCCTCTTGCATGTGTGCAACTGTTCTTGGAAACCACAAAAGTGTGGTGTACTGGTTAGTCAAGAGCAGCCTTCATGCTGTCGACTGAAGTCCCTTAAGAGTAAAGCGATCTGGGCTTGCAACATTCTTTTGTGCGTATTTTGAAGTGTTTTGTACATGGAGGTTCGCATCTGCACGAATGAAAGAAAAGAAAAAGATCTTCTTGGGAAGTAGCTGGCTTCTGGCTTTGTGTATGTAAAAAACGCCAAATGTAGATCGTGAAAATTAAGTATTTTGTCCTCGATTCCCTTTAGTACTTATAAAAAAATTGAAAGGAAATTAGTCAAATGACTTATAGATGTATCACATTGTTTTGAAGACACGTACGTGTACGAACGTGTGTAGAGTTGAATTGAGGTCAGTGCGGCTGATGACCTCATGTGTTGCCAACGTGGTTGATAAAAAGTCAAGGGTGGGACAAGGCAACCCTGGGACCACCCTGGGAGCCGGGTGTGTAAGATTGACAGGTGGGGTCAGTCATGCCCGTGTTTAGAGATGTTAAGAACACGGTGCGGTGCGGCCCCCCATGTCGGTGGGTCTCGGAGGGTCTAATCGGCTGTCTGTCACACGTCTGTCAGCGGCACTCGTTATCAACAAGTGTGCGTAAGCCGCTGTTGCAGAAAAAAGGCAGCTAAACGCTTGTAAACCAGGGAGGGTAAACACTTGTGGTAGTAAGGGCCCGGCCACATCCGCCGTACGATCGTCGTATGGTGGCAAACTAAAGGCATTCTTAGAATATTCATGCATGTGTCGTACAAAATTCAGCTGCCTTGTTACCGAAAAGGCAGTCTTACCCCTAAATCCGAGTTCAAGTTGTTGGCGGTTGGATCCTATTTTGTCTCAGTTAACTTGAAAATTCTACGTGAAAATCGTATATAACGTACAACGACGTATGATGAATATCTGACTAGGCCGTCAGAGGCAATTTGCCGCAATACAGTACGTCCTGTGATTCCACGCGGAGAACCGGTGAAAATATCACACACTGAGATTCTTCCTCGACCTCTGTTTGTCCTTGTCTTAAAGTTAACATTCATTCCGACAGAAATCCAAGGCTAGCTTTATAAGGCGTCACGTTTCTCTTTTCAATGTCGGTTCGTGGTCGTGGTTCATTACCCACATTGACACTATTTTTGGTAAGTTAAGGAACACCTTCGGGCACCTTGTGGCGTGATCCTCATCCTTCAGGTGTGCCGCATCCCACACATACCAAGGAGATTAAGGATCTTCCTACGTCTTGTCCTAGGCCACCGACGCCTCGACAAAGTCTTGCCCAAAGATCATGCATTCCTTTGTTTCGTTTCCCCTTTGCTCTACTGTCTGTTGTACATGTGCGCATGCCATCTCTCTTCCTCCATTCGTTCCCTCTATTTAATATTTAATATATACATCTATGTTCACTTCGCATTTCTCTTTGCTATCTTTTCTGGATCTGTTTTGCTTCTTATTTTCTCCCCTTTTTGTTTATTCATCTGCTGCATGTTTTGGAGAGAATTCTGTGCAGGGTGGTCTCAATAGTAATCTTGTTTAGGAAATTTCCAATCCAGTTAATCTCATGACTCGTACCACGGGACGTCGTCCGACCAAACATACGAGAACCTCGGCCAATACGAGGACGGGTGCGAATCAGGTGACGGTCGAATGATGTGCTAACGTCATTAACGCCTCCGGGCGCCACTTGTTCAATCGTCAGGGGACGACTTTGGGCGGAAATATTCTGCATTGATGAGATTTTATACCACCATGTTTACCCGCATTCGCTAGGCTGTATGCAAGCCGCACGTGGAATACTTGCCTCACGCGATGGAAGCTTGTTTCCATCGTGGTCTCTGGAACATGCACCTGTCCTGGGTGTTTGGTGGTGTCATATATGATAAACGCGTCGCGTGGGTGTTTTGTCTAATGGGTGGCGCCTATTCTAAATGGAACTTTTTAACGTGTATTGAAGAATGAAAATGGACGGAAAATAATGATATAATATAAGGTGACGGGATCTTTTAATTTTCTCTTTGCGGTGATAATACAACACACACACACACATGGGAAAATGACTGGATATTGTTCCTTATCGTGAAATTATATACTCGTATATATCCGATGATGGCAATTATATGTACTAGTGCCATGACACATTAGTTCGGCTATGTGTCTTAGCAAAGCCTAAAGAAACTGTTCAGTCTGCTCTCACTGCATCCAACCCTGAGACATGTCGACAGAGAGCTCGACAAGCGTTTAATATAATCAGAGTTTCAATACATTACCGGACCACAAAATGACCAATCCAATCAAGGACATTCGAATTTGTTACGTATAATCAAATATCACATCACTGACCACATATTCCGTCTTGTTTCAGTACTATTCTGTCCGTGATCGCCCTGTTTGTGTTCATCGCGGGGATTGACATCTGTCTGGGCCATCCCCACTTCCTGTCAGAGGTGAGGTCTCTCCGTCTTAACTTTGTAACCGCAAAGATAGCGAAGATCGTCTATCCCTCGCCCATCTTTTGTTAACGAAACATCGTGATATTCTTATCTATATTGTACTTCCAGGTGTACCGCTCGCTTAATTAACCTTCCAATTGTTATGCAGTCCACACAATCCCTGAGAGTGTTTAAGGACGGTTTGCACAAATACCTCCATCAGTAGCTCACAAGCACTGTTCGACAGGATTGTCAGTTTTTTTAAATTATGTATATTGTAAATATATTATTGATTGATTTAGATGTGTTTTGTGACTTGTCCAGTTGTCAACTATGTTTGTATAATCTCTGTATGTATGAATACCAGGAAGACTAGCGGAGGACCCTAGGGTCCACCGCTAATGGTTATTCTAATAAAGTTTCAAAGTTTAGGAATAGCTTCGAGATTTGTAATAGGCCATTCATCATACCGATGAACTTTGAGTTTTTCTCGAAGTAATTAGTTTGCATATTATAAATGCAAAGTCCATTTATGTCTGATGGTTTTTCGATCCCTGCATATAGAAGCTGGACTATGGCGTGACGTACCTGAACACGAACTGTTCCTGGTGTTCGCACAAGGTCGTGTCGGACGCCATGAGTAACGAGGTGGGAGATGTGTCTTCATTTTAGTTGTACAGTAGGAGTGATAATACGTCGTTTGCTAGCGCTACATTTTCCCTATCACACACAGTAGACGCATCTGTTACGTGCATACAGCGCTTCTCATCAGATCTCCTAACGTGTATGTCATTTCTTGCAAAGGAATTTGAAACAGAATTCCAAATGTCTATTGAGAAGTTACTTTTACACTAACTACATACTGCAAAGGAGTATTTATTTCTTGCCATTTAAAAGCGTGCTCATAACCATGTGCCTGAGCATATATACGTACGATGCGTTGTATAGAAGCTTCTCAATTCGTATCACGGTCAAGCCAAAGGTCCAAAAGTAAACCTCTGATAATTTTCTCTTCTCCCCAGCCGTGCCACATCCGTCAGGCCGGCCACTTCCGTCTGGTGGAGTCCCGCCGACTCATGCAGTGGTGCGACGGGTTCCTGTGGAAGGACATGGACCTGGCCAGGGTAAGCACGCCACCTGGCGGAGTGGTAGAATGACTGAGCTCCAAGCAGATTTTCAGTTGGGGAAATGGATACAGGCTGGCCAATTTGATACTACCCCCACCGAAAGATATGCTTGGAGATTAAGAATGACCAATGTGTAACAGGTATCTAATCCAAACGACCACTATTACCCAAGATGTCAATGTAATTTTTATGATGTTTGTCTCAGGTGATGGAGTATATCCAACGGCTGAACCTGCTTCAAGAAGCCGTCAAGACGCTGATGAATGGTAAGGCGTCCTGAAGTTTTGTTTCACTGTCATAGCCATCAATCAATATGTACTAATCTATTCTCTAAAATCAACTAATAGATTATTCGGTAGATGAAGTTTTCATAACAACTTTTCTCGCCTTTGAACAAGTCCCTTTTCCTAGGATAGAGTTGTCCGGATGGAGCCGAATAGATTGACTTTGCAATTGATCCGGCTTTTTATATTATAAAGGGCCAAAAGCATATGTACAAACGTTTCACGCTTCAAACCGACTTATACCCCCTGCAGGTGTCTATAACGACCCTCCCCGGTCCTGTAACCAGATTTACCGCCGGTACAAGAAGCTGTTGGGTGAGGCCCCGCAGACCGGCTACTACTACATCCAACCCAAGCTCGCCTCGTACCGGGTCTACTGTGAAATGCAAGGGGTAAATGATGCTGATGTCTTACTGTCGACTCAATATGTACTGCTTACTAGATCTAGTACTTTATTTATTCAGCAAATATCTTATACAAGTACAAATGACCTATCGTTTCCAATCTTCATTATAGAAAGCTCTAAAACTTAAACTAGTCGCGCTTACAGAGGTATATGATGTGTAACTTCCACCTCCGTCTATCCTACTGTATGTCACTGTTCCAGGAGAGAAAAGGAGCCACCCGAGTTGGTCGCTGGGCGCAGAGCTGGGACCTACAGAATATTACGTCACCGGGCAATCGGACATACGAGATAGAATTGTTGTCGCCGGAGGAACAACAACTTATACATGGTATTAATCAAATAACAGTCTAGATATTATGTTTTACGTAATAAGGTATTCACATCAGATTATAAGAGACTCAAATACCAGAAGTAGGCTTGATTATAATTTTAGATAATTTTCCTTTTTGCAACAGATCTACATTTCAAGACAGCCACGGTGGTGTGCGACACGACACTCCAGGTCCAGGCTCAAAACCACAGCTTCAACCCCTCCATCGTCAAGGTCATCCGCCAGCAGTCTTTAAACCGCAGAATCAAACAACAAAAGTTCAAGGTCAGTCACATATGCTTCAAACAGGCGCATGATTGTGTGTGTGTGTGTGTGTGTGTGTGTGTGTGTGTGTGTGTGTGTGTGTGTGTGTGTGTGTGTGTGTGTGTGTGTGTGTGACAGCATAACTCAAGAAATTGTGGATGTATATACGTATATTTGTCCAATAAATCGAATAAATGTATAATTTTAGTGTTCATATAATGGGACTCTGGTGGCTTTCTAAGGTACTGCACCACGAGGTTGGACGTGGTAATGATTTTTGTTTTCTTGATGGTTTTCAGATAAATGACGGCAGTGAGCACACTCTAGTGGAGCTGGCGGGCTGTGAGAAGCTGCGGTGCTCCGGTCGGGAGGGGTCCTCGGCAGCCTGTGGGACTGGGCCCGAAGGTAACCAGCTCCCTGCCCGGGGGAACACCACGGACCCCGTGGTGCTGGCGTCTCTACTGATGAAGACTGGCGGGGACGTGAAGAACACCTTCACCTGGACGGGAACACACTACTACCTGCTCCTTAAGTGATCTCTGCTTAGTAAATTGATCATGTATAATCATATGGGCGAGTAAAGTAGGCTGGTTATAAAAATACCTGCTTGCCCTGTCCCTTGTAAGCGGCAAATGCTGCAGCGCTGAATAGCCTGGGCAATATTATAAGTTATTTCCTGTTCACCTGTACTATAGATATAAGTGATAGGTAGTGTAGATCATACGGCACGCTATTTGGTATATAGGGTGAGCATCTTATAGACATTTTGTAGAACTCAGAAATTGTGGTTCTGCTCAACTGTTCACTGACATTAATGATACATAAAAACATGTATCGTAATTATCATTGTGGTGGCATTAATAATTCTCCCGCGGCAGAGCTCCCATCCGTGGCAATACTAGTACGTGATGTTATGGGAAGGCAACTGCGTATTGCGGCGGCGGGTGGGAGCTCTGTGGTACTCGTGGGGAAATGTGTGGTTGATATAAAATGCATCTGTGATGGCACATGTAACGTTACATCTATTATACGGATGTCTGTTAGTAAAATGGCAATGGAATAAACGTCTGTGGGCTTTTAAGTGCGGCCAGGTATTTCATTTATTTACTCCACGTTATGGCCCTCCGAGCCTACACACTACACATACACATACACATACACATACACATACACATACACATACACATACACATACACATACACATACACATACACATACACATACACATACACATACACATACACATACACATACACATACACATACACATACACATACACATACACATACACATACACATACACATACACATACACATACACATACACATACACATACACATACACATACACATACACATACACATACACATACACAATTTACACATGTGACACATACACATACACATACACATACACTAACACCTATACCCTCGGACCCGGGCTCTCATCCCATGTAGATCTCGCTTTATAGAACTGTCAAGATGTCTCAAGACAAAGGCCACAACGGGGGTGACACCCTCGGAGTGCAAAGCCTTACAAAGTCATTTAAACGTAGCAACAGTGCATTAACAGTAATCTCGCCTATTCAGATTTTTCCTGACCAGTTTCCGACAACCTATCCTGTACGATCCGCTCAGGAATATGTCTTGATCCGACAGGTCGCTTTACTCCTTGACTACCAAAGCTTTATAATTAAGTCTTCCATAAAACACCCACACATCTACCCGCACGTCACGCACACAGAGACACTGTCGTCCTGAGCTAGGAGGCGAATACTAGAAATGATGTATGTACTAAATGTTGCAAAGGCAGTCGTAAGCGCCTTTCACATATTGCAATTTGACATATTGGTAACTTACCAATATGTCAACGATATATGGTACCACCTTAGCTGGCAAATTGGCCCCATAACCACGTCCTTTTCTATAATGCAAAGCTAAAAGGTCAGCTACCACACTGCGACGACTATCATATCAAAATATATTCCACAGACACCCCACCTTTCAAAAGCCCAAATCAGAATTCGCCATCTCGGGTGATACCAAGGAGGTTAGATATTTAACCTCCTTGGTGATACCGACAGCTCACTTGGCAAACTCACTAAGAAGCAAATTATTGCATTGAGGCAGCCCACTGTTTCAGCTGCGGCCCACTTTTCGGGTCAATTGACAGCAGGTAAACGCGAAAAAAATTTTATACCTGCATTTTGTACAACTACCCTTTAGACAATCCTTAAAAATTAGAATGAAGAACCATATTATGAACTGAACATTTTTATTGTTTACTTGATAGATAGCTTTATATAATGACAAATAAGTGGGATTGATGTCTTCTTGCGACTTTCCGTTTGTGTGCGGTTGCATCCCGATACTAGTGTTGTAAAGATGGCGGGGCCCACACGGATTGAACTGTTTATCGAGGAAAACTCGGTAGAAAGCGGCGCTCTGAAGGCGATGCAGACCGTCAGACCGACCTGGAAGACTGATGAGATCAAGATCAAGGTGTGTGCAACATTTTAGTTTCAAAGAATCTTTGTTTTTGTAGAAAATGCGTATTGTTATCTGACAGATCGATTCCCACACGTGACATGGGCTGGGACTCTGCAATAAATGTTTCCATGTCAATGAAGTAAAATAAAATTTGAAAAGCTTTCCTCCGATGTTTTAGGTCTATCTTCAGTGATGTAAGATGAAGAATAGGTTGTTAATTAAAATGGTATTTTTTTTCGCAAAATTTTCCGTTCTTGAATACATTATTACATTTTGAAAGGAAGGATTAAAACTATAATAAAAGCTGAATGAATTTTTGCAAATATTGATACAAACAACCGAGTATCATAATTTTACATTGTCACTACAGTCAGTCAGTCTCAAAAGACTGTGGATTTACTGCGCAAAAAACAGGATGGCTCAGTTCCTAATTTTACAAGGCAAATCAAGTTCAAAGTCCTTGTCTGCTTGGCAGCGGTGGCAGCGTGTACATTGTAAATCTCATTGAAGACCTGGGTGTCATCCGTTTGGAACGGGGCTCCTGCACTCAAAACAGGTGGCTCCCAAAACAACTAGGCTGCTAAATATTAGTTTTTAAAGCTCTAGCTGCAGCTGATATGTTGTTAGGATTTGATAAGCTCACACCCAATGACAATAGTGACGAAAAGACTGAAGGAGTGAGAACACCCTATTTATTTATTTATTTCTGTTTTATTTAAACAGTGTAGAGACCTCAGTGCTATTTAAAAACACTGCTTTTCAGGAATGCCCTGTACGTGACAACAAGTTACACATGAAAACAATGAAACCAACACATTAAACAATACATGAAGTTACACAACAACCAAGCGTCAAAACAAAATCGTTAACCAAATAACTGTAAATCAGTGTCGTTAAGCCAGCCCAAGGCTCTGACCCATAGAAAAAACACTACCAGTACAACTTACATTGCCTCTTATGCCAGATACCTTTGCAAAAGTGTACGTAACGCAGCGTAACGTAACGTTACTTTTTTTTTTCAGTTTTTATAACACTGCAAATACAAGTATTTCAGTGTCCAGTGCATTACTACAGTCAACGATCCGTGAATTAAAAAATCTCATTTTCCCTCCTGCAGAAACATCAAAATTGCAGCACTTATGTGTAATATAAAGTAGAGTCAATTTATTTCTCAAGCTAACCCCAAAAGATGAGATTTGTAATAGTTCTAGAACAATAGATGATGAAGTAATGCTATTATGACCTGTAATTGTATGGTATCAGACTCAGGGGTTTTTCTAGAAAAATCTGGCATGAGGGAGCGGTATCACGGCGAGGGAGCGAAGCGACCGAGGGGGGGTTGGTGCGGAAGGGGGGTATCCCCCCTTCCGCCATGTGAAGCCTTTGAAAATTTGAAGTTGAAATGGGACAGTTTGAGGTTACTTGAGGGGGAAAATTTGAACTCTTTCATTGTATGTTTCTTTGAAAATAAACAACTATGATTGTGAAAAAGGTCTGTTTACTTGGATTTTACAACACCTTCAAAGGCTATTTTAGCTTGCACAAAATTTACAATATGCTAGATACAGTGCTCAATACAAATTTCCAGTACTATAATGGATGTAAAAGCCATAGGAGAAGGATAGATAGACTAAAATAATTCAATGTTTTTTTGTCAATATCTTTCCTAAATTTCTATTCATGCATTGCATATTTCCTTTATAAAATATAAGTACAATCAACAGTACACACAATGTGCAAATCACCCTTTATACACTTAAAACAATTAGTGATCAATGTTACTAGTAGCTCCAGATGACAACATTGGGTTTGCCACAAGCTCAACCCTTTCCCATGGCAAAGTTGCAACTTGCATCACATTCATCCAAGCTGCTACAAACTCAGGTCTCATGTTTCACTTCAGAGCCTGTTCTATAGTATGCAAATGAAGGAGGCTTACTTGTAGTCTTTGGGCAAGTTCTCAATGAACTATGTTTACTACATTCAGACTTTTACTACTAGAGCTAAATTTTCATGTTTGTGGTAAGATTTTGGAATTTTCATGAGAGTAACATAGTTTGTAATGCTAGAATACATTGTTATGTGGTGTTGTTTTTGTATTTTTACTGGAAAAAGATAATTTTGAAAAAGACTTAGGCTTCAATCTGAAAATTGATATGAGGGCGCTAGCTTGTTACATGAGGGCGCAGCGCCCTTGTTCCCCTGTTTAGAAAAACCCCTGGACTATCATGTTACCAGGGATATGCATATGTAACAGAACTTTGTTAACCCATGTCATTAAGCCTCTGTACAGGCAAAACCGGTCATGATAGTCTGAATACAGTAGTTCAAATGTGAACTACACAGCTCCAGATCAGATGTCTTACAGAGGGACGACTATTATATGATATTATACCTTTAGGAATGAATCAACTACTAGACTGTAAACAAATTTGCAGTACATGTTTGCACTAGCTCAGCTGCAGGATATGGGAGGACTCCTCAATTGTACATGTACATATTGATTTTTCTGGTGTGCATGGGAAGAAATTCTGTAATTTCCAAACACTAAACAGCCTTTACTGTAACAGAAGTATAATAATGGGCCTTGTACATCAAACAAGACTTTTAATTTTCCCTGGTCTTCATATTTTCCTTTTACTGTATAAATTGATGATATAAGACAATATCATTTCACAACTAGAGTTCCCCGATCTCATACCTTCGCCAAATGATGTTAAACTTTATGACTGACAAATTATAGATTAGATTATTCCCCCCTGATTTAAGAAATAGGAACCTAATTTTCATGAATTAATCATTCTATCATAATCTCAACCAAAAGACAGTCTTATATATGTTAACAAACAATGCATTCTAGCATTTCCTAATAAATTATGCAAATGAGGTCCTGATTTGAATAAATTGTGTTTAATGATGTTCACGTCAACTAAACTTTCAAATACCACAAGTATGAAATTCCAGGCAGTTATCATTACATAATTATAAAATTTTCTCATTAATTATGCAAATTAAGTCATTATTAACATAATCAATATCTTCCTGTGTTTCTCTCATTGTCAGTTACCAATGTCACAAGCTTCAATTGTCCTATCATGGAATGCAGCTGATTTATAGAATTTCCCCATAAATTATGCAAATTACATCCATATTTGCATAATTGTCACA